GCAATCCTCAACAACTTTTTAAAGAATCAGCCGAACTAGCAATCCTCAACAACTTTTTAAAGAATCAGCCGAACTAGCAATCCTCAACAACTTTTAAATTTTTACACCAGGAGCCAAAGGTCTGTTTCAGGAAAATCACATCCCCAGCAATTGGCAGTTGTAGGATCAAGCTGTACAAGAGTTCATACTCCACTAGTTGGCAGTGTTGTACATGAATTGTCAGTTAGCAAGTGTAAAATTGAACTTGTGCTTTAAAATTAGCTTCCGCTAATTTTTCTATGACATAAGCGTTTTTGAAGTTGCGGACCTAAATATTTTCATAAGTGCTTTGGAAATTGCGGAGCTAATTTGGATTAGCACTGCCCACCACTGAATGAATGTAAAAGTAGTTATAAAGGTCAGTAAAATGTGTATAACTATATACCACATTTCTGATGTGGCAGTGTAGTGTGACCTGTAGTTAACCTGTGTTTGTGTGTTGCAGCCTGGAGAGCTGATCATCTACTACGAGATGGAGGAAAGTGAAAGACGTAGCTCCAGGGGGATTGTGGAGGTCTGTCCTGAGACCCACAGGTCAGTGTGTGATGTCATCACAGCACAGTTATCCCTGGGTTTCCTCTCATGCTGACATGAGAATATGTGGCAGGTCTGGTTTTAATCTGCATTAGTTTTTAAATTAGGATAACTGGATTTGTGGAGAAACCTGAGGAAGGACGGACTGCGTCACGGCTGGCCAGTGTGGTGTTTTACTGCATCCAGAGAGAAACCCTGTCCTACATGTCAGACTTCCTTCACCTGCAGCCTCAAACCTCAAACAAGACCTTTGGACAGTTCTGGGTTTGTAGCTAATGTTTTGACTTGTGTCTGTTTGTCTGTTGGGTTAGCAGCATCATTCAGTGTACACATCTGAAGGAAATGTTTGAATGTTCATGAATGACTCATTAACTTTTGGAATAGACCAGGGGTTCTTAAGCTTTTTGACCTCGGGGCCCAATTTGTTGAACATAAAGAGACACGAGGCCCAGTCAGACATTATCAATGTATGGATCAAAATGATAATTATTATAAATCTTGGTTTAATTTTTATTGTATTTACATCAAAACTAAACTATCATAACTAACATAACTAAATAAAATACACTTACAGTTTAAAAGTAAAACTC